AATTGGACGGCATTGGGCTCAAGTTCATTCATTTCTTTTCGCAATTGGACAACATTGTACTTTCTGATGATTGTGGACTTCGAAATTGGCCAGGAACGTAACATTATAGTAATTGTAGAATCCGGATGCGCACAAGCAGCCATAGGTATCTATTATACTACTGGCCTTGAACTTGGTCAATCTGATAGTTCGGCCATCGGGCAACTTGTGTTTGAGCACCTTCTTTTCCCAGTCGAACTGGGGCTTAGCAACTTCGAGGTAGTACATGCCTAGCAGCATATCGAATGGCAAGTCGTCGCTAACCAAGAACGAGATCTTATGGTGAAGCTCACCTCCTCCATAGGAGAAGGTACAGACTACGTCCTTGATGTAGTCTGTTACAATCATGCGCTCCTTGTTGGCCAAAGTAGATGTTACTGGTCTACTAAGGTGTCGTACCCGGTCCTGTAGGTGCAGCCTTTCTAAACACTCGCGACTTATGTAATTCCGAGTGAAGCCTATGTCTATGAAGGCACCACATTTGCGGTCTCCTACATCGACCTCCACCACGAAATGTTCCCCTCTAGGACCTTTCCTTAGCGCCACCCAAGACTCACGAAGGTCCTTGTTTGACCAGTCACTCTCTAAGTCTTCTAAGGCTTCAGACACATCTAATGTACAAAGCATAGTTTGGTCTAGTTGTGTCTGCGGGGTGACTAAGGGGTCATTAGCCTTGGCCTTGTCATGAAGTGGGGAGGGTATCATTCCCACTTCATCTTGAGTCGAAGCGGCTAATACTTCCACTGGCCTTACACGTTTCCCGAGCTAGAAGCCTGGGAGTAGGTTGCCCCCATCTTTGGAGCTACCTTCTGCGTAACCTTAGTGTTCTGCCACTTGTACTGTGAGTGTCCGTACTCCCCACAGTTAATACAAGCACCACGCGTTCGGCGGTCACGCTACACGTCTTGATCAAGACCTGCCTTTACCCAATCAGCCTGTTTGGTTTGATTGGAGGCGGCCTTCCCTTCACCCCTAGGCTGGCCCTTTCCTCGACCTGCCGCCTTAGTCTTAACTACCGCGGCGAGGTTGCTGCCCTCAGCTACCTCCTCGCCGTCATACTCTGAATAGTCCACCAGGTGAGAGAGCTCGTCGATCTCAGTTTGAGTCCCATCAGACTCAACCATCATCAACTTCGGCCCCTTCTTCTTCCACTCCAGGGGACTCTTTTTCTTCTTTGAGTCATTTCCTGAGGTGGGTTGAGCATTGCCTAGTGTGGCCTTTAAGTCTAAGGCTTTCCTAGACAATGTCTCAAACGAGTGGTATTCAGTGCGTGCCTCGCTGGCTAGTAAGTTCCTGATGTTCTCTGGGAGACATCTGACAAATGTAGTCAATAGGAACTGGTCGCTGTAGTTAATGCGTGGGACAAGGATCAGGCTCTCAACGGTAGTCGTAAGCTCCCTAACTGACCTGAACTTGCGTTGGTCCAGTTTGTTAATGGCATCAGTGGCCTTTTGAGCCTCCTGTGGGTTATGCCATCGAGCCTCTACCATTTCCATGAATTGGTCTAAAGTCAAAGACTTAGCCCAGTCCGCCATGCGTCTCCCATACCCGGCCTTGATAACTACACCATCTAACCACTTGGCTGCCTTACCCTCGAGGTAAGATGCAACAGTTACCACTTCGTCCTCAGGCAAGGTCCTCTTTGCCTTCACCCAAACCGGGACGGATCTCAACCATGTGTTGAGTTCCTCGTCCTTTCTCTCGCCCGAGAAGGCAAGAGGCGGTTTCATTGGGGTTTTGGGGTACCATTGACCTTGCTGCTGTCCCTGTGAAGGAACAGATTGTTGCGGTGGTGTAGCGACCACCGCTGGACCCGAAGAAGTAGACGCAACAGTCTGTGAGACTGCTGCAGATGTGCCACTTGGCTGTGTGCCAGCTTGAACCGGAAAAGGGCCTGACATCGCCGATAACGGCAACGGCGATTGTGCTGGTGGTCGGAATCCTGGCCTTGTCAAAGCATCCAGGATCTGGTCTAGAGTGCTGTGCATAAAGTCTAACTTGCTGTCCACGTGTGCGTGTAGTGACAGCATGTTCTTCTTCAATACCTTCAGTGGGTCAGTCAACGCTGACTCGTCCAAGCCCTCTAGTTCAGCCTTGTCAACCTCTAAAGATTCAAGCCTGGCTGCTCTAGTTTTCATCGCATTTTCTCTATCGGTAGCATCTTTCAGGTCCTTCTCTAACTTACGGCGGAGCATCTCGACCTGCTGGATCTCTCTGAGCTCCCTCTGACGCGGGGTCAACGGGCTGAACTGCGAGCCCGCCATTTGACTAGGAGACTGGCTAGAGCCTGTGGAACCGGAAGTGCCTGAGGAACTTGTGGAACTCGTTGGCATTCCCAATGAGCTCCCACTAGTCCTTGACGAGGACGCTGTCGATGACGCAGCAGAGCTGGTAACGTTAGCCATTGCTGTTGCTCTGGCTGCTGCTGCCTGCTCTCTAGCTGTTGCGTTTGCTGCTGCTATCCCCGCTGCTAGTGCACGGGCTCTACGTAGCCTTCTTTCTTCTCTTGGCTACAAGGCCTGAAACACGTGCGGTACCCTTAATGCCCGTGCACGTGTTAGTCTCCTATTGTCAGCTCTATCATCAGCAGCATCTGAACCACTCATTAGTTAGACAGATAATATCTACACTAGAATCCCCTATTGGAATCCTACCGCAGCATGTATCTGACCGGCACGTAATTTTCTAAAAATAGTTGTGTCCGGCGAGTTCCCTACTATACCGAATCAAGTGGCATGTCTACAATATTCACACAGATTGTCTACATAGTCTAGATGCACCCTGATTGGTTCACTTACAGCAGCATTAGCTAGAATTGGGTATGGTAGCATACAACAGTCCTACACTAATCTGTCTGTGAGGTTAGCAGTCCGTCAACCAACTAATCAAAGGTACAAAAAGACAATGTAGCAGATGTATGATTGATGGGTATGGTTGTGTAAACAGTTGAGCACCAATTGGAACCTACCCTCCCCTCAATCCAACGTACCGAACAGCATCTTTGAGCGAGCAGTGTCTTCGTGTGTGTATCGGCCCACCCCTGTGCCCAAGTTATCACCGAGCAAGCTAGCCTAACCACTCTTATTTACCCTCGCACGGCGACGAGCCTTCCTGTCCATGTGATCTGGCTGATCAGAAGGTATTTATAGAGCTCCCCCATCTCTTCAGGAATTCTTTAACGTCGCAGTCAGGACGACGATCACAGCCAGATTCACAATGAACTCCCAACCAGAAATGTTTATAGACGGTCTGGTAAGCGTCTGTCATGGGCTGGCACACCCGGAGGAACTTCTATCAGCGCAGCAAGTGCCAAACAGGACAGCAGCCATCGCATGCGTGCACTACTCCTTGTGGGTTGGCATGGTGACCGTGACCCAAATGCTTCGACCAGGGCCCTTCAGAGGCACCGCCCTTTCTCCTTCCAGATGCTTCCGGGAAGATTGTCGTCTCTCAAGGTAGCGCGCTCAC